GAAAAGACATAGGAACTTTCCCCCCCCCCCTTACAGGTTAGTAGGAGAAAGGACCAGTTTGTTGTACATTAACTAAAAGAAAAGCTTGAAAATATTCATCCTTTCTCAAATGATTCAAGGTAATATAGAATAAAGTTACTTATTATAGATCATATAAAAGGCTTAGAAGATCAGAGTTAGAATCTTTGCTACAAAACTGCTTCCTTAACTTTTGTTTATTTTATGGGACATTTTGTGTTTGGACTGAGAACCTCCATAGGACTGAGAACCTCCATAGACATTTAGCAATGCACTTTGGGATGAACACCCTTCAAAGGGTGAGAGAGTATGAATTGGATTTCCAGAAAACATTGCAGACTACAGGAACCATTTATGCTTCACTTTCAGATTCAGACAGCAGAGATTCATCCCCAAGAGTCCAGGCCTGTCTTCAACAGTGAAGGGACACAGGGCAGAAAACATCCTGCAGCCAGAAGGCTCCACACACATTTGCACTACTCAAGTGCCCCTGGTTTCAATGCGTCTCTAAAGCAGGGGTCTCTAACTTGTGGGCCATGGGCCGACAGTGGGCCAAGGCCTGTTGGCCAGCGGGCCATGGGAATGGCTGATGAGTGTACACATTTGTGCATGCAACCCCCCCACTTGCACTAACGGCCCCATTTGTGCATGTGTAGGAGTGCTAGTGTCACCGCCACCATCACACGGTCACTAGCAGCCCATTTGCAGGTGCTAGTGTCCCACTTGCATGGATGTGCAGGCAGCACTGCCGAGGGTATGCACAGTCTACTTGCACATGTGCATGGATGCTGGCACTGCCATCATGCATGCACTGTTTGCGCATGCCCGTGCACACACTCATTTCTCTGCACCTTGCTTTCCCTCAAGGCCATCCACCCAAAAGTTTGGTTAACTCTGCTCTAGAGGAATACAAATGAACATTTTTCTGCAAGCAATATAAATCCTTCCACTCGGTACCATCTACTCAGAGCTGAAGAAGCTTCTTGGATGAGAAACGAAACGTCTTCAAAAGAAACACAAGAAAGTCTAGTTGCCTTCTGAAAAAAGAAAAAAAAAGTATCTTTGGGACATTAAATGGCAGTTAAGCTTCAAGGAACACTTTGAATTCTAGACTAGTTGTATCCAGTCAACTCAGAACTTTAAGTCATATTGTGACCAAATACAATCTCTCAGTTCAAACAGAATGATAAATAATTATCCAAAATATTTTGGTTGCTTTAGGTTATCTGGTGTAAACCCAGACATGGCTTCCCAGTAAGGATTATTCTGTCTCAGGAAGTTAAGTTCTTTTGAGTTCCATTGAGAGAAACTTTGAAATCATCTGGATTGGTATAACATCTGTAATGTTTTAACTGTTTTATATACTCACTGAATATGATAATCTAATCCCTTCATTTTGTTTTTATTTCCCAAAAAACCTTTGAAATATGTAGAAAATTTCTCTGGTGACAAAAACCAACAATTCGCCATTTTATAAAGATTATCAGTTTCACTGTGAAGATTGTAGCTCACTGAGATGTGGTATGTTCTTGATAGCTTTTCAGTGAATTAATAAACTGATACATTATTTTATTTTATACAATTTTATTCCATTTATTTTATACAAATTCTCAGCTTCCCTTTGAGTATGGTACCCTCCTGAAATGGCAATTTTTTCTTGAGACTCAGTGAATTATGATGGAAATAACAACAACAAACAAACAAACAAACAAAAAGTCTGTGGTGTCAAGCACCAATGATACATCAAGGAGCATTATAGGATCCAGAGAAGTGAAATTTTCTTGAGACCTTTTCAGTAAACTCTTATGGTCATTAAAAAAAAAAAAAACCAAAAAAGCAAAACATTTTTTTTTTTGCCACATAGAAGAGGGGGGTTAACCTATTTTCCAAAGCAGCTGCAGGCCGAAGAAGAAACAATGAATTTGGGTGGCAAATAATTTTAATAAATAAATAATCCAAACTATTCAATTTGTTCTTTTATCCATTCTAAAATCAGACATGGCTTCCGAGTAAAGATTGTAGTCTCTTGAGAAGTAAAGTTCTGTTGAGATCTTTAAAACTTCAAAATCTTCTGGATTGACATATACATTTGTATACATGTTTTTTTTAGCATTTTTTCATGAAAGCCAAAAATCATAATCTGTCCCTCTATGATCTCATTTACAACAAACATTTGAAATACACAGAAACTTTCTATGGTAACAAACACTGAGGATAAATCATTTTATAAAAATTCTCAGCTTCTAAGTGAGAGTTATAGGATCATGAAAAGTGAAATTTTCTTGAAACCCTTTCAGTGAATATTATGGAAATAATAATAATTAAAAAAAATGCTACATAGAAGAGGGAATGAATCTATTTTCCAAAGCAGCTGAAGGCAGAACAAGAAGCAATGGATTGAAACTAATCAAGGAGAGAAGCAATGGATTGAAACTAATCAAGGAGAGAGATTCCTTGACAGTGAGAACAATTAATCAGTGGAATAATTGTGGAATTATTGGAATAACTATTAGAGGAATAACTAACAGAACAAGAAGCAATGGATTGAAACTAATCAAGGAGAAAGATTCCCTGACAGTGAGAACAATTAACCAGTGGAATAATTTGTCTCCAGAAGTTGTTCCAATACTGGAGGTTTTTAAGAAGAGATTGGACAATCATTTGACTGAAAAGGTATAGGGTCTCCTGCCTGAGCAGGGGTTGGACTAGAAAGCCTCCAAGGTCTTGTCCAATTATACATGTTTTATTTCCTAACACACCTCCATTGTGTACGCAGTTGGATTTGGTTACAACATTGCCCCCAGAATCAAAACTGAACTGATGACACATCTTCTTAATTCTCAATGGAGATTCTTTCAGAGCAGATGTTTCCCCAGTGAATGTCTGACAGTTTGGATATTTAGAACAATTATACTAAAGTTTCATTCTGATCCTTCCACCATGATACTAAAAGTCTACATTCCAGAAGCTGAATCAACTGATTAAAAACGGAGGTGGACTTGGATTTTTTTTTTTTTTTTCATTTTGTTACAGCAACCGTTTTGATACCTAGAACAAAACATGCTGAAGTTCTCACTAGACAATGATCAAACCTCCTTGATTAATACAGGACCTGAGTCTTAGACAAACTCAAGAGCTGCTATGAAGAAAGGAAGTTTTTTGTTTGGCTTCAGATTCACTTCTTCTCACTGTGTCTCTGTCACACAATAATGGACTGCCATGTCTTCAGGTTTGAGGATGTTCCTTTGCAGACGTAACTGGCTTTTGACATTATCCCTGGAGATGGTGAAGTGTCCCTTCACTTTGTCTGAGTAGAACTTTCCACTGGAAACAGTATTAATCCCTGCAACCCATTCCAGATGTTTCCCAGGAGCCTGTCTCACCCAGTGCAGATAATAGATGAAGAAGGTGAATCCAGAGGCTTGGCAGGAGAGACGGAGGGACCCTCCAGGTCTTCTCACATCCCCTCCAGACTCCATCAACATTGCTTGAGATTAGATTCCTTAAAAAGAGTGTTTTGTTTTTTTTTGTTTGTTTTTTATGTAATCTCTGCATACAAGAGCAGAACATGAAAATAAACTCTACACTGGGATAAAGTTACCTTTGAGGACTACTAGTAAGAAGACAAGATTTAGCCACATTTTTGCTCTGTATAATGAATGGAGGAGAGTTGACAGGAAGGGTTTCAGGAAACAGCACAATTTTGTATTTGTGGGTGTTGTCTGAAAAGGGAAACCAAAGGTGTCCTTTAAAAGGGAAATTGTGCCTCGATGTACATATCTGTTGGAATAAAGAAACCCTCAGGGCATTGACCAATACATGTCAGTGAACTAACTTGCATGTCCATTTTGTAATTAACAATCCAGTCCTGAGAAAAGGGTTGATCCCCATTTTTTTTCCTGTGAGTTAATAGGAGAAAAGGTTTGTCCCTAGTTTGCTGTACATTAACTAAAACAAAAGCCTGAAGAGAAGGACCAGGGGAGATATGATAGCAGGGTTCCAATATTTGAGGGCATGTCACAGAGAAAAGGGGATCAACCTATTTTCCAAAGCACTTGAAGGCCAGACAAGGAATAACAGATGGAAATGGATCAAGGAGAGATTCAACCTAGAAATAAGGAGGAATTTTCTGACAGTGAGAACAATCAATCAATGAAACAGATTGCCTTCAGAAGTTGTAGGGGCTTCATCGCTGGAGGCTTTCAAGGACTGCCATCTGTCAGAAATGGTGTAGGGTTTCCTGCCTGGGCAGATGGTTGGACGAGCTGACCTACAAGGTCCCTTCCAACTCTGCTATTCTATTCTATTCTATTCTATTCTATTCTATTCTATTCTATTCTGTTCTGTTCTGTTCTGTTCTGTTCTGTTCTGTTCTGTTCTGTTCTGTTCTGTTCTGTTCTGCTCTGCTCTGCTCTGCTCTGTTCTTCTTAAAATGATTCAGGGTAATAGAGAATAAATTTATTTTTAGAGAGGATATTATAAGGCTAGCACATCTGATGTTTGCTACAATACATTAAATTGCAGGTAAACTTCAATATGCTCTGCTTTCTGTTCTAAACTGAGACATGGCTTCCAAGTAAGGATTATAGTCTCTCAAGAAGTTATGGTTTTTTTTTGTGATCTATTGAGGCAAACTTTAAAATATTATGGATTGGTATACATCTTTGTATGCATTTTTTAAGCATTTTTGTTCGCCAAACATGATAATATGTTGCACAAAGTTTTTTCAAATCCAGCAAAGATCTGAAATTATATAGAACTAAGGAGAATTTTCCTGACAGTGAGAGTAATTAATCAGTGGAACAACTTCAGGTAATCTTGATTCTACCCCTCTGTTAATGCAGCCTGGGATTGCACTGGCTTTTAAACAGACTGATAAATGTGGAATTTTTCATTTTCTTACAGCAATCTCTCTGATACTTAGAACAAAACAACCCTTCCTGAAGCTCTCAGTAGACAGAGATCAATCCTCATTGACTAATCTAGGACATGAGACTTAATAAAGTTAATGAGGGAAGAAAGGAAGGTTCTTGTCTGGCTTCAGATTCACTTCCTCTCACTGTGTCTCTCGCACAGTAATAGATGGCTGTGTCCTCTGGTTTGAGGCTGTTCATTTGCAGATACAGCTGGCTTTTGGCATTGTCCCTGGAGATGGTGAAGCGTCCATTATCTTTGCTTGAGTAGTAAGTACCGGAACTAGTGTCTATGGATGCCACCCATTCCACTCCTTTCCCTGGAGCCTGTCTTATCCAGCCCATCCAATAGCTGCTGAAGCTGAATCCAGAGGCTTGGCAGGAAAGACGGAGGGATTCTCCAGATATTTTCACCTCTCCTCCAGACTCCACCAACTGTATTTGAGATTTGACTCCTAAAAAGAAAGAAGGGTTTAAAAAAAAAAAAAAAAAAAAAAAATAGATCTCCTGCTTTCCAGAGCAGAACATAGAAATAAACTATGTAGTGGCAATAATTACCTTTGAGGACCATAAGTATGGACAGAAGATTTAACCACATTTTTGCTCCCTGTAACAAATAGACAAAATTGATAGAGAGGATTCTGGAAATGGTACAAGGTTTATGTTGGTGGGAGTTGTCTGAAAAGGGAAACCATGGGGCTTCTTTAAAGAGGAAATTGTGTCTTGATTTACATATCTGTTGGCATAAAAGAGCCATTGACTGATTCATTTTGGTGAACATAATTGCATGTGCATTTTGCAATTTACATTCCAGTCGTAAGAAAAGTGTCAGGACCCATTTTTTTCCTATGTTAATAGGAGAAAGGACCAGTATATTGTAGATTAAGTAAAACAAAGGCTTGAAAAAATTTAACAGTTCTCAAAATGATGCAAGGTAATAGAGAATAAACTTAATTATTAGAGAGGATTTCAAAATGCTAGCACATCTCAAGTTTGCTACAAGATTACTTTTCTTATATTTTACAGAAAACTCCAAATACATTAAATTGCTGGTAAACTTCAGTATGCTCTGTTTTCTATTCTAAACTCATGGTTTCCCAGTCAGGATTATAATCTCTTGAGAAGTTAAATTCTTTTGTAACCCATTGAGGCAAACTTTACAATCTTCTGGATTGGTGTATATATATATTTGTATGGTGACAAATATCAATGATTCATCATTTTATAAAGATTCTCAACTTCTCAGTGAGCGTTATGAAGTTTTCTTGAAACTTTTTCAATGAACTATGATGGAAATAATAATAAAAAATGCTATGCTTCCAAAATTAGACAACATATAATTATACACTTTATTCCTTAACACATCTCCTCTGGGTGCATAGGCAGTTGGATTTTCTGTGACAACTGTGTCCTCCAGGATCAAAAGTGAGGAGAGGACACATTTTCCTAATTTTCCAAGGAGATTCTTTCTGAGGAGATATTTCCCCAACATCTGCTTGGCAATTTGGAAACTTGGAAAAGTTATCCTAAGGTTTCATTTCCATCCTCCATCCTGCATCCTGCCATGGTACTTCATTTCCATCCTCCATCCTCCATCCTGCCATGGTACTTAGAGGATTCCATTCCATTCCAGTGAAGCCAAATCAACTGGTAAAATCCCTATGCATTTTCCAAGAAATTCAATTTCTTCCAGATTTAGGAATTTGTATTTGTTGTAAATTGAGACATGGTTTCAGAGTGATATTATCATTCTTTTGAAACATATTGGAGAAGCTGTTAAGGAAGTAGCTGAAGCTATAATCAGCCTTGGAAATGAGGCCACATTTGTGCATGCTGATTTTATTTTCCTGCCCTCCTCTTCCCACATGTCCATCCTGATTGAATGTGAAAAGGCTATCTCCTGGTATCCTGATGCTAGTGATGAAGACTATATGGAGACATCTAATTCTCAAAGGCATTCTTATGTTCCAGGGGTGGAAGAGAAGCTGAGAACAAATGAACAAAGCTGAGAACAAATCAGATCACAGTAGGATTCAGTTATCGATGTCCTGTATTGAAGCTGAGAGGAGGACATTTGTGCTATGTGATCACTATCAAGTTGGTGGGGTTTTTTTGTGTTCTTTCATTTAGTGAGCTTGCAAAACGTAATAAAATTAAAGAAATGGTGCAAAGAGTTGACTGGTTGCCCAGAAAGTGATGTAAAATGATATTATTAAGTGAACAAGGCTACAGTTATAAAGAAATTAGAAGAAAAATCGGTGGAAACTTAACCAAAGGTGGCATTTTTACTGTACCCTTTTCCCAAAATGTTTCCACAATTTTGGCCACTACTGTACATGTTAGAGATAGAACAGGAAAAGAACAGCACATCTGAGTTCAAGAAAGATGTTGTAACTTTTTTCTCCTTTCATTGGCTCTTTTGAAAAAAACCCAAATGAACTAAATGCAGACCAAGATCATTTTTATTTTGGTTAATAGTTTTTATTTATTAATTAAGTATCTATAGCCTCTCATCTCAATCAATGACTCTGGGCAGCTGACAATTCCATATTTTGCTACTTTGTGTGGTGTTTTGATCATTTGTGAGTTGCTCAGGGTTAAGTCACCAATATGGGCAGCCATAAAAATTGAAATAATAGTAATAATACCCATAGTAATCCCTCCGTGTGAAAAAAATCCTTTCATTTTCTTTGCATTTTAATCAAAGATTTGAAGAACGTTTATACATTTATACACTTAAATATGAGGCAGCCGTGTGCTGCAGCTGCCAAAAAGGCCAACACAGTGCTGGGCTTCATTAACAGAGGGATAGAATCAAGATCTCATGAAGTATTAATACCACTTTACAATGTCTTGGTAAGGCCACACTTGGAATACTGCATCCAGTTTTGGTCACCACAATGTAAAAAAGATGTTGAGATTCTAGAAAGAGTACAGAGAAGAACAACAAAGATGATTAGGGGACTGGATGCTAAAGCATATAAGGAAAGGTTGATGGAATTGGGTATGTCTAGTTTAATGAGGAGAAGGACGAGGGGGGACATGATAGCAGTCTTCCAATATCTCAGGGGCTGCCACAAAGAAGAGGGAGTCAAGCTATTTTCCAAGGTGCCTGAAGTCAGGACAGGAAGCAACAGATGGAAATTAATCAAGGAGAGAAGCAACCTAGGACTAAGGAGAAACTTCCTGACAACTAGAACAATTAACCAGTGGAACAACCTGCCTCCAGAAGCTGTGAATGCTCCAACACCGGAAGTTTTTAAGAAGAGACTGGACAGCCATTTGTCTGAAATGGTGTAGGGTTTCCTGCCTGAGCAGAGGGTTGGACTAGATAGCCTCCGAGGTCCCTTCCATCATCATCATCATCATCATTATTATTATTATTATTATTCCAGACAGTTTCTCTGGTGACAAACCAGGTTCATCATTTTATAAAAACTCTCAGCTTCATGGTCAAGACTGAAGACTCCTGAGATTCAAAATTTTCTTGAACTATTACAGAAATATTGCAAAATAATAATAATAAAAAAAACATTTCTCCAAAATGAAACAATATCTAATGATCCTTGCTTTATTCCCTTTCCCACTGTGGCTGGGTACATAGGCCATGGGGTTTGGTGTGACAAGATTGCCCTCCAGTGTCAAAAGTGAAGAGAAGAAACATCTTATCAATTATCTGAGGAGTTATTTTGGCAAAGATGCTTCTTCAATATCTGCATGGCAGTTTGGATATTTAGAAAGGTCATCTTAATATTTCATTTCCTACCTTATGTCACAGTACTAAAAAAAAGAATATTCCATTCCAGACTTCTTCTTTTTTATATAAAGGTTTTTATTGAGTTTTATAAGGTTGGGGAAGGGACCAGGATAGGGATTAAGGTTTGGGGTGGGATTAGGATTGGGGTTGGGACAGGATTGGGAACAACATTGGGGTTGCCCCCCAGTAACATTTTCAAGTTTTAGCAAACAGACTATTATTTGGGTACATATGTTCAGTTAACACTAATTAATATAATAGTAAATAGCTGTAGTGAATATGATAAAACAATAATCATAAACAGTATCAGATCGTCAATACATATCGTTCTTCTTACTAATATATATTCAAAATAACAGATCACGTTCATTTCTCACTAGTTTGTTTTCCTAACCATTGGTAAAAATTTATCTCATGTTTCTGAAGCCAGATCATCGGTGATAGCCAAATCTGGCCCTAAGTTCTGCCTCAATTTACCTTCCCAATAAGCAACCGAGTTGGAAGATCATTTAAAAGTAGTTTTTTAGGATATCTTGATAAAATGGGATCTCTCTCTCTCTCTCTTTCTCTCTCTCTCTCTCTGAAAAAGGATAGAGAGAACCCCAAGACCCATCTTATATTCCCTGTTAGAGTTAACACAACAAAGAAAATGCAGGAGGAAAGTTGATGGGGCAGGATAAAAGTAATCTCCCCTTTACATAGGGAATCAGTTACATGTAGTCAAACCTGTTACATATTTGCAACCTATACTATCACACATGTTCATTAAAATGAAGTCTGATGTCAGAAGGGGCATACATTGCAAGGCAAAAGATTGCTTGGAGTTCACAAAAGAGAAAAAAAAACAGACCTCAATTTGTAGTAACAAACTTTTTTTTTCTTATCTGGAGATAATCTCAAGCCTATTTATCAATTTAGGGATGTTAAAAGCTAATAAACCTGAACATCATTTTAAAAAAAGAGGAAATAAATCAAATGAAAATGCAAACTAACTGTGTTAGTTAACAAATTACAAAACAAATAACTGTGTTAGTTAACAAATTACAAAATCCACATTAGGTTTACCCTCACCTGGTAAACGAGGAAGCTGAAACTGGAATTTTCAAGCCATTTTTATCATTTTTCAGTTTTGGTGGGTAAAGTCTCTAACTGGATTCCTAGAACAAAAGATTCCTAAAATTCTCAATGGATGGTGATCCATCCTTATTGACTAAACCAGGATCCACAATTGAATCAAGTTGCTGAGCGGCTCTGAGGAAAGGAAGGTTTTTGTCTGGCTTCAGATTCACTTCCCCTCACTGTGTCTCTAGCACAGTAATAGACAGCCGTGTCTTCAGCTTTGAGGCTGTTCATCTGCAGATACAGCTGGCTTTTGGCATTGTCTCTGGAGGTGGTGAAGCGTCCCTTCACTTTGTCTGAGTATGTAATCCCAGATGAACTTGGATGTATCTCTGAAACCCATTCCAGTCCTTTCCCTGGGGCCTGTCTCACCCAGTGCATGTAGGAGCTGCTGAAGGTGAATCCAGAGGCTTGGCAGGAGAGGCGGAGGGACCCTCCAGGTCTTCTCACGTCCCCTCCAGACTCCACCAACTTCTCCTCTGACTGGACACCTAGGAAGAAAGATGTTTCATTGACATCTCCTGCATACAACAATAGGAATTGGAAGGAAATGCTGTAGAGAGGGAAGCCTCACCTCCAAGGAGTAGTAAGAACACCAACTTTGGCCACAGAGTCATTTTTGGATAGGAAAGCATTCAAGAAAGTGCACAAGCTTTGTGTCAATGGGTGTGGCCTGAAAGGGGAAACCTTCAAGCTTCTTTAATGGGGAGTTTGTGTCCAGATTTACATATTGCTTTGGATAAAAGAGCCCCTCAAGACATTCAGTTATACATTTATTTACACACCAGAAGCATGATTTTTAAATTACATTATATATGGACAAAGGGACACAGATAGACAGACATACACATACAATCAAAGCAGGCATGCTTTGTTATTATGGTTCTTCACATGGCGAGACAGATGCTTAAACTTAATTTGGCACTTTTATCTACCTACTGTATCCTTTAGGATAAAAGGGAGATTTGCACTTCAGTAAGTAAAAGCTTTAGGAATAGAAATATTATTTATTAGCCAAGAGTGTCTGCACATATAAGGAATTTGTCTGCAGTGCATAAGCTCTCAGTGTACCTACAAAGAACAAAGTTGACAATAGAATAGAGCTGGAAGGGACCTTGAAGTTTTTCTAGTCCAACCCCCCATTCAAACAGGAGAACCATCTCAGACAAGTGACTGTCTAGTCTCTTCTTAAAAACCTTCAGTAATGGAGCACCCAGAATTTCTGGAGGCAAGCTGTTCCACTGGTTGATTGTCCTCACTGCTAGGAACTTTCTCCTTAATTCCAGGTTGCTTCTCTCTTTGATCAGTTTCCTTCCATTGTTTCTTGTCCTACCCTCTGGTGCTTTGGAGAATAATTTGACTTCCTCTTCTTTGTGGCAGCCTCTCAAATACTAGAATATGGCTATCATGTTATCCCTATTTCTTCTTTTCTTTAGACTAGCCCAGTGATGGCGAACCTATGGCATGGGTGGCAGAGGCGGCATTCAGAGCCCTCACTGTGGGCACACACACCATTGCCCCAGTCCTAGGCCTTCAGCTGGGTTTTATAAAACCTTTTTGTTTTAGGTCTCGGCCACCATGTACAAAAAAAAAAAGGTTCAATCAATCAGTCAATTTCAACTTCTCGCGGGAAAAAAAAAGATCTTGCAAAGTTGGAATTGATTGATTTAACTTTTTAGTCCCACCCAATCTGCTGTTACCATCACAACCACGCCCACCCAATGGGCCACACCCACCCAATGGGCCATGCCCACCCAATGGGCCATACCCACCCGGCACCCGACGATGCATAAGTGGGTTTTGGGTTGCAGTTTGGGTACTCGGTCTCTAAAAGGTTCGCCATCACTGGACTAGCCAAACCCAAGTCCTGCAGCCGTTCTTCATATAAACCATAAGATACAATCATAAATCATAAGATACAAACAACAAGTGATAAATCATAAGATATCAATAGGAGAAGGCAGTAGGAAAGATGAGAAGATGAAAAAAGATCAGAAGATCAGAAGGATAACAGCAATGCAGCCCTACTACATGAATAAATATCCTTAGGCATAAGACAGTGCTGTGGGAGTTAGGTGTTTAGCAGATTGATGGCATGGGGAAAAAAACAACAACTATCTTTATGTCTAGTTGTTTTGATGTGCAATGCCTTATAGTGGCATCCTGAGAGAGGCATTGAAACAGTTTATGTCCAGGATGTGAGGGATTTGTAAATATTTTCTCAGCCTTCTTTCTGGCTGATGCAGTATGCAGGTCCTCAGTGGAAGTCAGGCAGATTGCAATGTTGTTATTGGTTTTTTTTTCCATAGTTCTAACTATTGTTGAGACTCTAGAAAGAGTACAGAGAAGAGCAACAAAGATGATTAGGGGACTGGAGGCTAAAACATATAAGGAACGGTTGCTAGAATTGGGTATGTCTAGTTTAACGAAGAGAAGAACAAGGGGGGACATGATAGCAGTATTCCAATATCTCAGGGGCTGCCAAAAAGAAGAGGGAATTAAGCTATTTTCCAAAGCACCTGAAGGCAGGACAAGAAGCAACGGGTGGAAACTCATCAAGGAGAGAAGCAACCTAGAACTAAGGAGAAACTTCCTGACAGTGAGAACAATTAATCAGTGGAACAGCTTGCCTCCAGAAGCAGTAAATGCTCCAACACTGGAAGTTTTTAAGAAGAGACTGGACAGCCATTTGTCCGAAATGGTGTAGGGTTTCCTGCCCGAGCAGGGGGTTGGAATAGATGACCTCCAAGGTCCCTTCCAACTTTACTATTATTATTATTATTATTCCTGAGTAGGATAGACAGATCTAAATTGTTCTTTTGTTTTGCGATAGTAAATATGTTTTGAAGAATTACCCTACTTTGAATTGAATTTCCTGGGGTGCTGGAATTCTCTTATTTCCTTTTTAATCTCATACAACCATGGACTGAATTAGTTGACTTCCAGGTCATTTAGTAGAAAGCAACCCTAACATTTGACAACCAGGTTTCTCTGCACACCTCTAACCAAAAGAGACTTTTCTAGCTAAACTGATATCAGGATCCCCTGTTCTTTTTTCATTATAGATTTATTCTACATGGTGGGGATTGCACGGGTACATTATTTATCCAAATCTGTTCAATACCAGTCTCAGGTTCTTTTAATAGGAGTTTCATTCCTATTGTCACTTGTTATAAATAACTCAGAGCAACAAATATACTGTATTTTCCAGTGCATAAGACGACTTTCTAAACCATGCAAATCTTCTCCAAAGTCAGGGGTCATCTTATACGCTGAGTCATCTTATACGCTGGAAAATACCGTATTTTCCAGCGTATAAGATGACTTCTAAACCATGCAAATCTTCTCCAAAGTCAGGGGTCATCTTATATGCTGAGTCGTCTTATACGCCAGAAAATACCATATTTTCCAGCGTATAAGACGACTTTCTAATCATGCAAATCTTCTCCAAAGTCGGGGATTGTTTTATACACCCAGTTGTCTTATATCCTGAGAAATGCTAACACAGTTGAGTTAGCAAGTTAGCAAAGGAGGAGAGCTTCAGGAAACAGGGGACTGAAAGTAAATTAATTTAGAAAGAATGAAAATTGAATATCCTATAGAAAGGGATAAGACAATTGAGTATTGGAAATATTACAATATTGTAATATAAGCTGCCCAGAGTCGCTCTCAATGGCAAGATAGACAAGGTATAAATCAATTAATTAAATAAATATTGAGACAAATAAGAAGGATTGAACGTGAAAATAATATGGAGAAGAAGCCTTCTAAGTAATTAAAATCTGGCCCCCATTTTTTTTTTTTTTGCTTTATTACAAGTCCATCAGAGATGATAAAAAAGATATCAACAAACATTTTAGAACCCTTAATATATCATTTATAGTTTCTTGAATATTACATAATAATGATAGAGAACTAGTACAGGTCGTTCTTGTGACGACCTGTGACCCCAATTGAGCCCACCATTTCTTTTACTAAGGGAAACATTTGTTAACTGAGTTTTGCCTCACGTTACAATCGCTCTTTCCACAACCGTTAAGTAGATGACTCTAATTGTAACCTAAAATGGGAAGCCAACTGGTTCAATTAAAGGAGAAATGGTCCTTTGATTTACATATTACTTTGTATAAAAGAGTCCCTTGATGCATTGATCTCATAAGTTTCCTTCCACACTCATTTTATGCCTGATTTTCTCATGACTTTCTGGTCCTATGAAAAATAAAGGTAGGTTCTTCTTCTTCTTCTTCTTCTTCTTCTTCTTCTTCTTCTTCTTCTTCTTCTTCTTCTTCTTCTTCTTCTTCTTCTTCTTCTTCTTCTTCTTCTTCTTCTTCTTCTTCTTCTTCTTCTTCTTCTTCTTCTTCTTCTTCTCCTTCTCCTTCTCCTTCTCCTTCTCCTACTCCCTTTTCTTTTCTTTTCTTTTCTTTTTTTTCTTTTCTCTTGTCTCCTGTCTTCTGTCTCCTATCTCCTGTTTCCTGTTTCCTGTCTCCTTTCTTCCTTCTCTTATGGAAATAACATAAAAAGTTATCATGCTTCCAAAACAAGACAATAAATTTAATGACACTTGTTCTATTCTATACCCAGTGGTGGGATTCAGCTGGTTCACACCACTTTGGAAAAACCAGTAGCTAATTTTTTCTTGCCAATGCCCAGAATGGACTTCTTGAAGCAGCATCCACACAGAGAACCGGTTGTTAACATATTTGAATCCCACCACTGTCCCTACCCCACCCCATTGGCTACATAGAGGCCATTGGGCTTCATATGAAAACATTGCCCCTCCCCCCGGTATCAAAAGTAAGAAGAGAACGTATCTTCCTAATTCTCCGAAGAGATTCTTTGGGTTCAGTGTTCTATTTCCTCAATATTTATATGACAGTTTGGATATTTAGAAAGATTATCATAAAATTATATTTCCTGCCGTAATGCTAAAGGACTACATTCCATTAGAGTTTCTTTGTGTGTGTGTGTGCATGTGTGTATGTGTGTTTATGAAGCATAATCACTTTGTAAATGATGAAGCTGGCACGGGAACTTTCTAAGCAGTGTTTAACATGTTCATGCAATTCCAGCAAACTGGATAACTAAAGCAAAAGAGTCTGAAATTTCTCCGTAAATGGTGATTAATTATCCTTCAGCAACCCAGAATCTGGAGCTAAACCAAGTCATCAAGCTGCTCTGAACAACGGCAGGTTTTTGTTAGGCTTCAGATTCACTTCCTCTCACTGTGTATCTAGCACAGTAATAGACTGCTGTGTCTTCAACTTTGAGGCAGTTCATTTGCAGATACAGCTGGCTTTTGGCATCGTCCCTGGAGGTGGTGAAACGGCCCTTCACTTTGTCTAAGTAGTAACCGCCAGTTGTAGAAACCCATTCCAGTCCTTTCCCTGGAGCCTGTCTCACCCAGTTCATGTAATAGCTGCTGAAGGTGAAGCCAGAGGCTTGGCAGGAGAGATGGAGGGACTCTCCAGGTCTTCTCACACCCCCCTCTGACTCAACCAACTGTACTTGAGATTGGGCTCCTAAAAAGAAAAGGATTTTAATGAGATCTCTTGCATATAAAATGAGAATATGGGCACAAAATCTCTATATTGAGAAAATAGTTACCTCTGAGGACTACTAGTAAGGACACGAAGTTTAACCACATTTTGCTCCTTGTAAGGAAGTGAAGAAATGGATAGAAAAGGATTTGGGACAGTGAGCAAAATTTGTACTTCCTCTTTTAAGAGGAAATTGTGTCTCAATTTGCCTATTGGATGAGATAAAAGAGCTCCTTCATGCATTCAGCTCATTCCCCCCTTTATGTCATTTTCCAGCCCTAAATAAAGCAAAGGAAACCTCTACATTTTAGTAATTAAAATTTAATTAAATCAATTAAAATAAAAGTTCTTCTGTTTATTAATCATGTACAATTCTTTTGCACATAAAGTACATGTCTTATTCTCAAATAAAAATAAAATAAGATAAATAAGATCACACAGAAATATCTGCACATGGATTAGTAGAGAACAAATGAAAGTATATATCATCAAAAGAGTAAAAGAACCAGATAAAGATAAATAACCTTTATCATTTTTTCCCCAGTGGGCATTCTGGCATACATTAAAAATTAAATTCTGTTGCTTACTCTCAAAGTGTACACATGCATAACACATACAAATATGCTACATACAACATATGTATATATCTACACCCTTACATATAAACTAACCAAAAAGAGAAGCAACCTAGAACTAAGAAGAAACTTCCTGACAGTTAGAACAACTGTCAGTGGAACATCTTGCCTCCAGAAGCTGTGAATGCTCCAACACTGGAAGTTTTAAAGAAGAAATTGGACAGCCATTTGTCTGAAATGGTATAGGGTTTCCTAACTGAGCAGGGGGTTGGACTAGATGACCTCCAAGGTCCCTTCCAACTTTATTATTATTATTATTATTGTTGTTGTTGTTGTTGTTGTTATTTATTTATTTATTTATTTATGAGACTTATATACCGCTTTAAGTGCAAGCACTCTCTAAGCGGTGTACACCAGTAAGCAATGTATATATATATTTACATTGCCCCCAACAATCTGGGTCCTCATTTTACCTACCCCAGAAGGATGGAAGGCTGAGTCAACCTTGAGCCGGTGAGATTTGAACCGCTGACCTGCTGAACACAGTCAGCTAAAGTGGCCTGCAGTACAGCACTCTAACTGCTATGCCACCTTGGCTCATTGTTGTTGTTATTATTATTATTGTATACATATACATATAAATTGAAACAACTGAAATACAAATGGACTGGTCACATAGCAAGAAGAACTGATGGCTGATGGACCAAGGTAGTCATAGAATGGATCGCATTTGATCAAAGGCATCCACAAAAGAGACCTAAAACAAGATGGAGTGTATAAATCAATTAATTAATTAAATAAATATTGAGAGAAATAAGAGAGATTGAACTTGAAAATAATATGGAGAAGAAGCCTTCTAAGTAATTAAAATCTGGCCCCCATTTTTTTTTTTTTTTTTTTTTGCTTTATTACAAGTCCATCAGAGATGATAAGAAAAAATATCAACAAACATTTTAGAACCCTTGATATATCATTGATAGTTTCTTGAATATTACATAATAATGATACAGAACTAGAACAGGTTGTCCTTGTGACGACCTGTGATCCCAAATGAGCCCACAATTTCTTTTGCTAACGGAAACATTTGTTAACCGAGTTTTGCCTCACTTTACAACCTTACTTTCCACAACTGTTAAGTAGATGACTGTAATTGTTACGTTGGGAAAACCAGGGCTTTTTTTCTCATAGAACGCCCAGAATGGAGTTCCGGCACCTGTTTTGGATGGAACCTTGCAGGGTAGGCAAGGCGGGTTGTATGACATGTGTGAGTTCCAGCACCTTTTTTTTTTTTTTTTTTTTTTTTTAAGAAAAGAAGCACTGAGGAACACAATTCTTTAGGGAATCTGGCTTCCTCATAGATTTTGCTTGTCTAAAGGTCTCAAAAGGGGATCTTGTGATCTGTGGACACTGCAACCATCATAAATATGAGTCAGTTGCCAAGTGTCTGAATTTTGATCATATGATCATGGGGATGGCACAAGTGTAAAACATGGTCATAAGACACTTTTTTTACTGCCCTTTCAACTTCAAATAGTCACTAAATGAAGTGCTGTAAGTCAAAAACTACCTGAACAGCCAATTTTTTTTTCAGTTCATCATCTACCATACAGCTAAACAGGTTCCCTATTGCTTATTCAGAGAATAGCTCAGAAATAAGCAATGATGGAGTTTTATATGCCGCTTTTTCAATGACAGTATACCAGTTCAACCTTCTGTGACTAAATCAACTTGGAAAGCTGCTCAAAGGAAGAGAAGGTTTTTGCCTGGTGTCAGATTCACTTCCTCTCACTGTGTCTCCTGCACAGTAATAGATGCCCATGTCCTCTGGTTTGAGGCTGTTCATTTGCAGATACAGCTGGCTTTTGGCATTGTCCCTGGAGATGGTGAAACGGCCCTTCACTTTGTCTGAGTAGAACTTTCCACTGGAATCATAATAGATGCCTGCAACCCATTCCAGTCCTTTTCCAGGAACTTGTCTCACCCAGTTCATGTCATAGCTGCTGAAGGTGAATCCAGAGGCTTGGCAGGAGAGATGGAGGGTCTCTCCAGGTCTTTTCACATCTCCCCCGGACTCCACCAATTGGGCCTGAGATTGGACACCTAAAATGAAAGGAGTTTCAGAGATCTCTCCTCCATACAAGAATTTAAATGGAAAGAAACACAATATAGAACAAATTACCTCTGAGGACTGCTAGTAAGGATAACACATTGACCCACAGGATCATTCTTGCTCTCTCTAAAGACTAGAGGGGAATTGATGGCAAAGGACTTGGAGAAGTGCACAAACTTTGCGTTAGTGGGTGTAGCCTAGAAAGGAAAACCAACTGCCTCCTTTTAAAGGGAATATTGTGTCTCTATTTGCATATCTCTGCATATAAATGCACCTCATTATTGTCTTCAATTATATATTTCTTTGCACATGGATTTCACGCATGCTTTTCAAATGAGGTTCCAGACTGAAGAACAGTCAAGACCATTGGGTATTTTGTTGTGGGTACATAAAGGTGAAGGTCAGATTTGCACTGGAGTATATAAAGCAAGGTCTGGCAGAATCTCCTCATTTCATAAAAATATTCTATGGTGAGAAAAGGAAATCATGGGGTGAAAATTCCTTAATTAGCCATGTTAGTGACTCAACATGATAAAGGTGGTACATAGGAATTAGAGTATTTGTTTCACAGTTATTACTTTGACCACATTCTTTTGAAGAAACCCAAAACAACAGTGCAGACCAAGCTATAAGACACAGTTTGAATCCCACAGTTGAATTACATATATACCTCTGAGTTTCAAAGTAGGAATCAAAGATATTATATTAGAAGCCTGTGAGGTGTTCCTTATTAATTCAGTTCTTAACTTGGCAATGAATGAATGCCAAATGAATATCCTGTAGGAAAGAAATAAACAGTGGCATTATTGTCAATATTATATTACTGAAGTGTAAGCAGCCTAGAGTTGCTCTCAATTGCAAGATGGGCAATAAAAAAATTAAGAAAGAAAGAAAGAAAGAAAGAAAGAAAGAAAGAAAGAAAGAAAGAAAGAAAGAAAGAAAGAAAGAGAAGGAAGGAAGGAAGGAAGGAAGGAAGGAAGGAAGAAAGAAAGAAAGAAAGAAAGAAAGAAAGAAAGAAAGAAAGAAAGAAAGAAAGAAAGGAAGAAAGAAAGAAGGGGGATTGAACTAGAAAATAATATCTGACCAATATGGGGGCCAGATTTCAAGTAATTGAAATTACATTTCCAACAAACATTTAAGAAACCTTGGTCTTTCACTGACAGTTTCCTGGACACTAAGTACCAAAGTTATTTCATTTATACTGCCATGAAATTTTCAATACATACCCTGCCCTACAGCTAAACAGGTTCTCTAGAGGTTTTTCCAAGATTAGCTCTGGAATAAACAATGATGGAACTTCATCTGCTGCTTTTCAGTGATAATATACAAATTCAATCTTCTGTGATTAAATCAAGTTGGAAAGTTGCTCAGAGGAAGAGAAAGTTTTTGCCTGGTGTCACGGTGTCCTCTCAGGGTGTCTGCCATGCAAGAATAGACTGCCCTGTTTTCTGGTTTCAGGCTGCTCATTTGAAGATACAGCTGATCCTGGAGGTGATAAAGCATCCCATCACTTTGTCTGAATAATAAATGTTAGCTGAATCTGGATGTATATGTGAAACCCATTTCAGGACTTTTCCAAAAGCTTGTCTCACCCAGTGCATGTAGTAGGCACTTAAAGTTAATCTAGAGGCCTTGCAGGACAGATGGAGGGATTTTCCAGGTATTCTAACAGCCCCTCAAGACTCCACCAACTGCCCAGACTCAGATCAGACACCTAAAAAAAGATGTTTTAGTGACATCTCCTGTAAACAGAAACAGCAAATGGAAGGACACTCTACATATAGGGAAACATTAAGTCCAAGGGATGCAAATAAAAATAACAAGTTTAGCCAGAGGATCATTTTTGCACCATCTAATAGATGGAAGGAAATTGATAGGAAAGACTTCACGAAAGTGCCCCTATTTTTTTTTTCTGGGTGTTATCTTGAAAAGGAAGGCCAACTCATCCAAAGATGTTGAAGAGCACTGGGCCCAGAACAGAGCCCTAGGGCACCCCACTACACACTTCCCTCCATCTAGATGCGGTTCCATTGAGGACCACACGGCTGAGTACGGCCAGTCAGCCAGCTACGGATCCATCTGGTGGTGATGCTGTCTAAGCCACATTTTTCTATCTTATCTAGTAAGTTGTGATTTATTTTACCAAATGCCTTACTGAGTCCAAGAAAATTATATCCACAGCATTCCTCTGATCCACTAATTTTGTCACTTGGTCAAAGAATGCAACAAGATTTGTCTGGCATGATTTGTTTTTGACAAACCCATGTTGGCTTTTAGTAATGACTTTGTTTGCCTCTAGGTGTTCGCTGATTCATTGTTTGATTATCTTTTCCAGAATCTTCCCAGGTATTGAGGTCAGGCTGATAGGTCTGTAATTTCCTGGATCCAATTTTTTCCCCTTTTTTTGAAGATAGGAACTACATCAGCTCTTTTCCATTTCTCTGGTAGTTCCCCAGTGCTCCAGGAGCTTTTAAAAATATAGTTCAGTGGTTCTGAGATCACATCTGCAAGTTCCTTGAGAACCTTGGGGTGTAATGCATCTGGTCCTGGTGATTTGAACTCGTCTAGACTGGATAGGTGCTCACTTACCATTTTCTTGCCTGTCTTAATTTGTGTTTCTATTCTGTTTTTTATGGCACTATTTTTGATAGGTTGGTCTGTGTTTTTTCCCTTTGTGTAAAGGCAGATGCAAATGAGACAATATTTGATGATACTTGTTCTATTCCCTACCCCACCCTCACAGGGTGCAGAGTCCATGGGTTTTCATGTGACAACATTGTCCCCTGGTGTCACAAGTGAGGAGGGGAGTCATCTTCCTAATTCTCCAAAGAGATTCTTTAGGTCCAGATGTTTCCTCAAGAGTTGAATGGGAGTTTGGATTTTTAGAAAGATTATTCTAAAGTTTCCTTTTCTGTTGGTGTAGGTGAGCGCAGCCGAAAAAGGGAAGCCAGCTGGTTCAATTAAAAGAGAAATGGTCCTTTGATTTACATATTACTTTGTATAAAAGAGTCCCTCAGTGGATTGATCTCATAGGTTTCTTTCCACACTCATTATATGCCTGATTTTCTCATGACTTTTTGGTCCTATGAAAAATAAAGGTAGTTTTTCTTCTTCTTCTTCTTCTTCTTCTTCTTCTTCTTCTTCTTCTTCTTCTTCTTCTTCTTCTTCTTCTTCTTCTTCTTCTTCTTCTTCTTCTTATTCTTCTTATTCTTCTTCTTATTCTTCTTCTTCTTCTTCTTCTTCTTCTTCTTCTTCTTCTTCTTCTTCTTCTTCTTCTTCTTCTTCTTCTTCTTCTTCTTCTTCTTCTTTTCTTTTCTTTTTTCTCCTGTCTCCTGTCTCCTTTCTTCCTTCTCTTATGGAAATAACATAAAAAGTTATCATGCTTCCAAAACAAGACAATATATTTAATGACACTTGTTCTATTCCATACCCAGTGGTGAGATTCATCCGGTTCACACCACTTTGGCAAGACCAGTAGCTAATTTTTTGTTGCCCAGGCCCAGAATGGACTTCTTGAAGCAGCATCCGCACAGAGATTCGGTTGTTAACATATTTGAATCCCACCACTGTCCCTACCCCACCCCATTGGATACATAGAGGCCATTGGGCTTCATATGAAAACATTGCCCCTCCCCCCGGTATCAAAAGTAAGAAGAGAACATATCTTCCTAATTCTCCGAAGAGATTCTTTGGGTTCAGTCTTTTTGTTCCTCAATATTTATATGACAGTTTGGATATTTAGAAAGATTATCATAAAATTATATTTCCTGCCGTGATGCTAAAGGACTACATTCCATTAAAGTTTCTTTGTGTGTGTATGTGCGTGTGTGTGTGTGTGTGTTTATGAAGCATAATCACTTTGTAAATGATGAAGCTGGCACGGGAACTTTCTAAGCCGTGTTGGATAACTAAAGCAAAAGAGTCTGAAATTTCTCTGTAAATGGTGATTAATTATCCTTCAGCAACCCAGAATCTGGAGCTAAACTAAATCATCCAGCTGCTCTGAACAACAGGGAGTTTTTGTTAGGCTTCAGATTCACTTCCTCTCACTGTGTATCTAGCACAGTAATAGACTGCTGTGTCTTCAGCTTTGAGGCTGTTCATTTGCAGATACAGCTGGCTTTTGGCATCATCCCTGGAGGTGATGAAGCGGCCCTTCACTTTGTCTAAGTAGTAACCGCCAGTTGTAGAAACCCATTCCAGTCCTTTCCCTGGAGCCTGTCTCACCCAGTTCATGTAATAGCTGCTGAAGGTGAATCCAGAGGCTTGGCAGGAGAGATGGAGGGACTCTCCAGGTCTTCTTACACCCCCCTCTGACTCAACCAACTGTACTTGAGATTGGGCTCCTAAAAAGAAAAAGATTTTAATGAGATCTCTTGCATATAAAACAAGAACGTGGACACAAAATTTCTATATTGAGAAAATAGTTACCTCTGAGGACTACTAGTAAGGATACGAAGTTTAACCACATTTTGCTTCTTGTAAGGAAGTGAAGAAATGGACAGGAAAGGATTTGGGACAGTGAGCAAAATTTGTATTTTGGGTGTAGCCTGAAAAGGGAATCTATGGGGCTCTTTTAAGAGGAAATTGTGTCTCAATTTGCCTATTGGATGAGATAAAAGAGCTCCTTCATGCATTCAGCTCATTCCCCCCTTTATGTCATTTTCCAGCCCTAAATAAAGCAAAGGAAACCTCTACATTTTAGTAATTAAAATTTAATTAAAGCAATTAAAATAAAAGTTCTTCTGTTTATTTATCATGTACAATTCTTTTGCACATAAATTACATGTCTTATTCTCAAATAAGAATAAAATAAGATAAATAAGAGCAGGTAGAAAGATCTGCACATGGATTAGTAGAGAACAAATGAAAGTATATATCATCAGAAGAGTAAAAGAACTAGATAAAGATAAACAACCTTTATCATTTTTTTTCCCAGTGGGCACTCTGGCACACATTAAAAATGAAATTCTGTTGCCTACTCTCAAAAGTGTACATATGTATAACACACATATAAACATGCTACATACAACATATGTATATATCTACACCCTTACATATAAACTAACCAAAAAGAGAAACAACCTGGAACTAAAGAGAAACTTCCTGACAGTTAGAACAATTAACCAGTGGAACAACCTGCCTCCAGTCCAGAAGCAGTAAATGCTCCAACACTGGAAGTTTTAAAGAAGAAATTGGACAGCCATTTGTCTGAAATGGTGTAGGGTTTCCTGCCTGAGCAGGGGATTGGACTAGATGACCTCCAAAGTCCCTTCCAACTTTATTATTATTGTTGTTGTTGCTGTTATTATTATTGTTATTGTTATTATTATTATTATTAAATACATATAAATTGAAACAGAACTGAAATACAAATGCATTGGTCACATAACAAGAAGAACTGATCACTGGTGGACCAAGGTAGTCATAGAATGGATCCCACTTGATCAAAAGCATCCACAAAAGAGACCTAAAACAAGATGGATTATAGACTCAGATGGCACAAGAAAGCTGATGACCATATTGGTTGGAAACAAGCAGAAGAGGCCTTCATCCTGCAGTGGATAGACAGGGGCTAAGATGATGATGATGGTGATGATTCTCAAATAGCGTTCTCCTCTTAAGTGGAGACAAGCTCTTTTCTTTCTGTCTATTCATAGAACAATAGGAGGGCAGGTTTCCATTAGCGTAAGTAAAGCAAAGAACTGCAAAATTTCACCCCCGGTCAAAAATCGTTCAGCAGAATAGAATAAGCATGCACAAAAATCCTTTTAAAAGAAAATCTTCAAAGACCTTAAATGAAATGCTAACACATTTGAATTAGCAAGTTAGCAAGGGAGGAGAGCTTCAGGGATTTAGAAAGAAGGAAAATTTAGAAAGAATTAAAATTGAATATCAAGTAGAAAGGAATTAAACCGTTGAATATTGGAAATATTACAATATTGCAGTATAAGCTACCCAGAGTTGCTTTTGATGGCGAGATAGCCAGTGTATAAATGAAATAAATAAATGAATAAATATTGAGAGAAACAAGAGGGTTTGAACTGGAAAATAATACAGGAAGGAAGCCTTCTAGGTAATTAAAATTATATATATTTCTGAGGTTTTTGCGGGTGTTTGTATGTAGGTCTTTGGTTATTCGGGTTTTCTCTCACATAAAATTGGAAGTGTCTTGGCGACGTTTCGACAAAGTCTCATTCATCATCTTCAGGCTGGTGCTTTTGGCTTCATGCTTCTAGGAGCACGAAGCCGAAGATGACGAATGAGACTTTGTCAAAACGTCGCCAAGACACTTCCAATTTTATGTGGGAAAAAACCCGAATAACCAAAGACCTACATATATATATATATATATATATATATATAATCACCAGTCCATCAGAGATGATAAAAAATACCTTATTTATCGTTTCAACAACCATTTGAGAAACCTTTGTATATATTAATGATATTTCTTGGACATTATGTAATAATAATACATGATTAGTATATGCCAGGGGTGTCAAACTGCTGGGCTGGTTGCATTATGCAGAGGCCGCCCCCACCCCTAGTTCCGGCAATGCAAAAAAAGTTGTGGTAAGTCGCAACACGTCACACGACACAGCGAGTTTGACACTCGTGGTATGGGCAGTCCTTGATCTACGACCACAACTGAGCCTGAAATTTCTGTTGCTAAGGGAAACATTTGTTAACTGAGTTTTGCCTCATTTCGTAACCTTTCTTGCCACAACTGTTAAGATTGCATCACTGCAATTGCTGTTGGGAACACGGTTGTTAAGTGAATCTGGCTTCCTCATAGACTTCGCTTGTCAGAAGGTCCTAAAACATGCTGGGACACTATAACAATCATAAGGTGGCGCAGCAGTTAGAGTGCAGTACTGCAGGCCACTTTAGCTGACTGTGTTCAGCAGGTCAGCGGTTCAAATCTCACCGGCTCAAGGTTGACTCAGCCTTCCATCCTTCCGGGGTAGGTAAAATGAGGACCCAGATTGTTGGGGGCAATGTAAATATATATATACATTGCTTACTGGTGTACACCGCTTAGAGAGTGCTTGCACTTAAAGCGGTATATAAGTCTCATAAATAAATAAATAAACATGAACCAATGGCCAAATGTCTGAATTTTGATCATGTGACCATGCGGATGCTGCCATGGTCATAAGACACTTTTTAAAGTGCCCTTGCAACTTCAAATAGTCACTAAATGAACTGCTGTAAGTCAAAAACTACCTGAACAACCAATTTTTTTTCAGTTCATCACCTACCATACTGCTATACAGGTTCCCTACTGCTTATTCGGAGAACAGCTCAGGAATAAGCAATGATGGAGCTTTATATGCCACTTTTTCAATGACGGTATACCAATTCAACCTTCTGTGACTAAATGAGTTTGGAAAGCTGCTCAAAGGAAGATAACATTTTTGCCTGGTGTCAAATTCACTTCCTCTCATTGTGTCTCCTGCACAGTAATAGACTGCTGTGTCCTCTGGTTTGAGGCTGTTCATCTGCAGATACAGCTGGCTTTTGGCATTGTCCCTGGAGATGGTGAAGCGTCCCTTCACTTTGTCTGAGTAGAGCTTTCCACTGGAATCAGGATAGATGTAGGCCACCCATTCCAGTCCTTTCCCTGGAGCCTGCCTCGCCCAGTGCACGTAGTAGCTACTGAAGGTGGAGCCAGAAGCTTGGCAGGAGAGATGGACGGACTCTCCAGGTATTTTCACAACTCCTCCAGACTCCACCAACTGGGCCTGAGATCGGACACCTAAAATGAAAGGTGTTTCAGTGAGCTCTCCTCCATTCAAGAATTTAAATGGAGAGAAACACAATATAGAGCAAACAATTACCTCTGAGGACTGCTAGTAAGGATAACACATTGACCCACAGACCCATTCTTGCTCTCTCTAAAGACTAGAGGGGAATTGATGGCAAAGGACTTGGAGAAGTGCACAAACTTTGTGTTAGGGGTGTAGCCTAGAAAGGAAAACCAACTGCCTCCTTTTAAAGGGAAAATTGTGCCTCCATTTACATATTGCTGCGTGTAAATGCACCTCCTTATCGTGTTTGATTATATATTTATTTGCACATGGATTTCATATAGGCTTTTCAAATGAGGTTCCCATCTGAGGAACAGTCAAGACTATTGCGTGTTACATTAAGCTGAAAGTCAGATTTGCAGTGGAGTATATAAAGCAAGATCTGGCAGAATCTCCTCATTTCATAATAATAATAACGTTGGAAGGGACCTTGGAGGTCATATAGTCCAACCCCCTGCTCAAGCAGGAAACCCTATACCATTTCAGACAAATGGCTATCCAGTCTCTTCTTAAAAAACATAAAAGAGTTTTATGATGAGAAAAAGAAATCATGGGGTGAAAATTCCTTAATTAGCCATGTTAGTGACCCAACATGATAAAGGTGGCACATAGGAGTTAGAGTATTTGTTTCACAGTTATTCCTTTGACCATGTTCTTTTGAAGAAACCCAAAACAACAATGTAGACCAAGCTATAATGCACAATTTGAAACCCACACTTGATGGGGGGAGATGGATTGATTCTCCAGCTCTCACCTCATCTCCTCCAGAGGCTACCAACTGGCCTTGAGAGTGATATCTAAAATGAACGGAGTTCCAGTGAGCTTTCCTGGGTACAAGAATTAAAATGGAAGGAAACTGAACAGGGAGAAAACAATTACCTCTAGTAAGGACACTAAGTTTAACCCCAGGACCATTTTTGCTCCCTTCAATGAATGGAAGGGAACTGACAGTAGAAGATTTTGGGAAAGTGTGCAAACTTTGTGTTGGTGGGTGTAGTCTGAAAAGGGAAACCTTGAGCTTTAAAGAGGAAATTCTGCCTCAGTTTACATATTACTTGGGATAAAAGAACCCCTTATTGCATTCACTTATAGATTTATTTGCACACATCTTAGATATAGGAATTTTTTTCTCTCTCTGAGTTAATAGGACAGGTTTACTTTGCAGTATATAAAACAAAGACTTGAAAAAAAATAGCACTTCTGAAAAACAACTCAAGGAAAGAGAGAGTAAACTTGCATAAGGTCCTGTTTAAGGAAACCCATTAAAGACAGGATATAAAAGAGTTAGGAAATCTAAGTTAGGGAGTTGACTACATGATTTCTTCCTTAACCTTTGTTACTTTATTTCTTTCATTATTGGAAGCAGCCATTACATTAAATAGCTGGGTCCACAAAACTCACAAAGTCAAACTCCTTCTCTTTGTCACCAAATAGACTCTCTGAGTTCAAAGAGAATGACAAATAACTATCTCTGTATTGTGCAAAAGATTTTCTTTCCTCTATGTCAGTTGTAATCAACCTGTGGTCCTAGACCCCTGGGGGGGTTATGATGTAATCACAGGAGGTATGCAATAGCTTGAAAAAATGTTATGATTTAAATCTTGAGTTAAGACATTGTGGTCTGTGACCCTGGTCCATAACCATAAAGAATATTTAAAGGGGGTCCATGGGGAAAAAAGATTGTGAACCAATGTTCTATTCCATGGTGGCGAACCTATGGCATGCGTGCCAAAGGTGGCACGCGGAACCTTCTCTGTGGGCACCTGCACCATTGCCCCAGTCCTAGGCCTTCAGCTGGGTGTTATAAAACCTTTTTGCTTTAGGCCTCCCCTGCCATGTGCAAAAAAAAAAAAAAAGATTCAATCAATCAATCAATTTCAACTTCTCGCAGGAAAAAAAAGATCTCGCAAAGTTAGAATTGATTGGTTGAACTTTTCAGTCCCACCCAGTCTGCCGTTACCACTGCAGCCGTGCCCACCCAATGGGCCATATCCACCCAATGGGCCACACCCACCCAATTGGCTACGCCCACCTGGCACCCGACGATACATAAGTGGATTTTGGGTTGCAGTTTGGGCACTCATTCTCTAAAAGATTCACCATCACTGTTCTATATAATCTATTGTAAACCCAGAAACACTTCCCAGTGAGCATTTTAATCTCTTCAGAAGTTAAATTTGTTTGACATCTATTGAGAGCACTTTTAAGCAAATAACAGAAGATATAATCAACCTTCAAAAGGAGACCACATTTGTGCACAGCCCATTTCTTCCCACATGGCCGACATGGTTGAGATGACAATGGTATAAGTGATGAGGAAGAGAGGACGCCATCATATTTCCCAGGAGATTCTTACGTTCCAGCAGGAGAAGAGAAGTTGAGAACACAGGAAGGATTTTAAGGAGAATTGCTCATTTCTATAATGGTATATTGTAGCCATGTCTTGTGGTGATGAACAAATCCTAAATTAACTTCCTTAATAGTTAAATAAATCACAGGATGATTTAAAAGAGAGGAATTAAAGGAAGGAATTATCCCTGTTTTACTTCCAATCTCAAAATAAAAATAGATAGCTACCCACCCAGAATTATTTAATTTCTACATTCCCAACAGAAGGGGAAGGTGTTCTTGGGGGAAGGGGGAAAGATTTTAACAAAGTAAATGACTATCTGTGTATGAGTGCTTTTTCTTAGTTTGGGAGCTGCTCAGAGATAAAGAAAGTGCTTGACTGTATTCAGATTCACTTCTTCTTACTGTGTCTCTCACACAGTAATAGAGAGTCGTGTCCTCAAGTTGTTCATTTGCAGATACAGCTGGCTTTTGGTATTGACCCTGGAGACGGTGAAGCGTCCCTTCACTTTGTCTGAGTAGTAAGGGGAAGGAGGTGAGCGATTAGTTATGTGGGCCACCCATTCTGGTCCTTTCCCTGGAGACTGTCTCACCCAGTACATCCAATAGCTGCTGAAGGAGAATCCAGAGGCTTGGCAGGAGAGACGGAGGGACCCTCCAGGTCTTCTCACATCCCCTCCAGACTCCACCAACTGGATTTGAGACTGCACTCCTAAAAAGAAAAAAAAGTGTTTCAATGAGATCTCCTGTAAAGAAGAACAGCAGATGGAAGGAAACTGTATGCAGAGGGAAACAATTATCTCCGAGGGATGCAAGTAAGAACACCAAGTTTAGCCACAACATCATTTTTGCTTCCTCTGATGAATGGAGGGGAACTGACAGGAGAGGATTCAGGAACATGCACAATTTTTGTGTTGGTGGGTGTAGCCTTAAAAGGAAAACCAACAGACTCCTTTAAAGAGGAAATTTTGCCTTGATTTACATATTGGTTGAAATAAAAGAGCTCCTCAGTGCATTTATGTCATAGTTTTCATTGCATGCTCCCTACGAGGGTGATAACTACCCAGTCTTAATAAAACTGAAGGCATCCTTTAATTAGAGCAATTAAACCAAAGCCTTGAAAAAGTTCATCACTTCTCAGAATTGGTCCAAGGATACAAATGGTGAACCTGCCCTAAGAATTTTTGAGAAAGACACTTTAGATATAGAACATGAACAGAACAGCACTTCTGAGTTTAGGAAAGATTTTATAACAGGAATAACAGAATTGGAAGGGACCTTGGAGTTTTTTAGTCTAACCTTAAAGCCAGAGACCTTATACCATTTATACATAATGATGACAATGATAGATGTGTGCATGCGTGTGTAGGTGTATATGTGTGTATGTATTATCATCATCATTTTAGCCATTGTTTATCCACTGCAGGATGAAGGCCTCTTCCACATGTTTCCAACCGATACGGTCCTGAGATTTCTTCTGCCAAATAGGCCCTCAATATCCATCTTGTTTTAGGACTCATATGAATATGTATATGTATGTGTATGTGTATGTATAAGCATGATATACATATTGTTTGCATTTCAAGGAAAAAAATGAGGTACCTTCAAACATAAAATAGTACATCTGTCAAAGTTCTCACTAATGGAACACTTCAAAGAACTTTCAGACATTGTTTACTCTAAAAAGTCTTTAAACATATGTACACAGTGTCGGCACAGCACGGATGTATGCCAAGATCTGAATTTCTTTCATTTGCACATAACATTCCAGGCTATTCCCCTCCCCTATTTTGCAGTCATCATTCACATCTTCCAGTCCACCTGGAGGGCAAAGATTCACTTCCGTTCCCTTCCCACCTCAGTCCTTACCGTTCTTCCCTCCCCCACCATTATCTGAATTAACTCTAAAAATACCAGACAGTTCTGCATATCTTGTCAAAGCAATAATATCCAATATTAGCAGCGTTGACAACATCATTTTATAAAAAAATATTTTATAGACAAAAAATAAGTTTCATGGTGAGAATTGTACCCTCTGGAGATGTGAAATTTTCATAAGATGTTTTCAATGATTTATTACAGAAATAACATAAAAAAATTGTCCTGCCTCCAGAATGAGAGAATATTGAATGACCCTTGTTTTATTCCCTACCCCACCCCCAACTGGGGGCAGAGCCCGTGGGGTTTCATGTGACAACATTGCCCCCCAGTGTCAAAAGTGAGGAGGGGAGGCATCTTCCTAATTCTCCAAGGAGATTCTTTAGGTCCAGATGTTTCCTCAATAGTTGTATGGCAGTTTGGCTATTTATAAAGATGATCATAAAGTTTTGTTTCTATCTTATAGTATGACAGTAAAGGGCTACATTTCATTCAAGGGTTGTTTTTTTTTTCCCTGAACCCAGATCCCTTTGTAAACACTAGAATACTGGAAACTGCAATATTCAAACTATATTTATTGTTTTTTTTACGTTTTCTTAAAAAAAATTCTCTAAATGGAACTAGAAAAAAAGAAGTCTTAAAGTTCTTACTAGACAGTTATCAATCATCACTAAGTAGTTGGGATATGGGGCAGAAGGGGAGGGGAGGGAATGCAGGAGGAGAGGGAAAGGAGAGGAGAGGGGAGGAGTGGAGAGGAGAGGAGAGGAGAGGAGAAGAGAAGAGAGGAGAGGAGGGGAGGAGAGGGTAGGGTAGGGGAGAGGAGAGGAGAGGAGAAGAGAGGAGAGGAGAGATGGGGAGGAGAGGAAAGGAAAGGGTAGGGGAGAGGAGAGGAGAGGAGAAGAGAGGACAAATTTGTCCCTTATTTTAATTGCCTTTTGATAAAAAAAGTTTCTTTGAAACTATTTTGACATTATATAAAATTCCCATAAGAGTTAGGACAATATTTCCTTATCCATGGTTTTTAGAATTGATTAGATAACAACATGGTACTAGGAGATGAACAATTTTCAAACCATAGTTTCTGGTGAAACCAATGTTACTGTTAACTTATCCTTCTGTGGAGCTGAGAAGTGAGAAGGAATCATACGGTATCTTCAAGTCCATACACAGCAAAAAGTAGGAAAGACTGGTGTGAACTTTGTGTTGTTTTGTACAGAAAGCTGTAATTTCAGTTCCTTTTCATTCAACAGTGGTGGAATTGATCAGTCTCAGAACTGTCATTCCATCTGAAAACACTGTTTCTACTGGATCTCCATTTGGTGGAATTGTGTAGACCACTAGTGGCCCTTAGTGGAGGGCTTAATTCTCCAATGAGATAAAGGTACCCTAATAGGGGAAGAATCTGGACCACAGAAAACTGAAATAGTCCCATGATAAAGAATGGCTCGAATGGTGCTTTTGAGTTAGTTCAGAAGAATTAGGGCTGCGTGGATCATTCTTTTTGGAGAGAAGAGGGGGGCAATTTTCCTAAAATATGACTTTCTATAAAATTGACTTGAGAAGCCCAATCACTCTTATAAACATTATAACATGACCTCTTTTATGCTGTCCTTTGAAGATTTGAAGCCTTACTATTCAGCTTCTGCTTGCTTCCTTGAAGTTATGCCATGACAAAAGAATGTGAATCTTAGAGAACCCTTGTTTTATCAGACAGTTATAATTCTATTGCTAGATGAATGATATGATTTTAGACATATTTAAACTTTCAAGTATGTTTGTGTAGGGAGAGAGAGATACAGAAATATATAGAGAGCAGTGGTTCTCAACCTGTGGGTCGGGACCCCATTTGGGGTCGAACGACCATTTCATGGGGGTCGCCAAACAATGCAGTCTGCCATTTTTTCCCCTTTTCCTTAGCTGTGCTACTCCCTTTTATTCTATTGGCTTTTGAAAGCCAATAGAATAGACTCTCTTGAATGGAGGCTAATTCTATTGGCTTTCAAAAGCCAATAGGAATTGTCCAGGCTGTCTCTGCCCTGCTGAGCCCACCAAAAGTCCCATTCTGCAAACGGTGCTGCACCAGTTGAGTAGCCCTTGACTTACGACCGGTTGGGACTCGTGGCATTAAAAAGGTTGAGAACCACTGATATAGAGAGAGACACAGATAATGAGATACAGAAACCCAAAGACAGAAAGAGGAAGATCTGAATCTCAAGAAAGAATGAAAAATGAGGATTGAACTATAAATCCAATAAAATAATGAAGAGTTCTAATTAAGGAAGACAATTTTGTAATTCTAAAGTTTTTTTCAGAGCGTGAGCACTTTGCCATTGCTGTCTTTCAGGAATTTTTTTTTTCCGTTTAATTACTTAGTTTATTTACTTTGCTCTGATTTTTCTGGTTTCCTCTCCTCCAGGTGGAAAACACCTACTGATTCCAAGATTAGATTTTACTTTCTCCTGGAAATCTGGCAACTTTCTCAAGTTAGTCTCCTAGAAAAATACAGACTTGCAGATCTGATCAATGGCTGGTTTTTGCCAAGCTTCCTTTCACTGTGTTTCTCGTACAGTCATAGACAGATGTGTCTTCAGGTTTGAGGCTGTTCCTTTGCAGATACAGCTGGCTTTTGGCATTATCCCTGGAGAGGGTGAAGCGTCCCTTCACTTTGTCTGAGTAGTAACTGCCAGTTATAGCAATCCATTCCATTCCATTCCCTGGAACCTGTCTCATCCAAGCCATCCAATGGTTCCTGAAGGTGAATCCAGAGGGGTTGAGTCTCAGGAAAGTAGTCTTAAGCAGCAGACAAAGCATAGTCTAAGATATTTTTTAACAGAAATGTTAGAGACAGAGCTTAAAACTATAGTATATTTCAGTTCAGGAAGCATTGTTTCTTCAACAAAGTTTTGTTTTCAAGAAGCTGAATTTAACTGCATACACACTAGGGTGTAAAACAAAATTTGTAAGGCACAGAAGTCAGCTTCCCACCAAGTTGGGAAAGGGAAAAAAATCAAAGTAATCATATCATAAAGTCATATTGTACACTCAGTCCAAGAATGAATATGATATTTTCTGCTTGGCGAAGATTTCTGACTTCTAGAGTTAGCAAGGCCCATTCTGTTCTGAATTCAGACATGGCTTTATGGAGGAAATTGTGGTCTCTTGAGAAGTGACATTCCCTTGAGACCAATTTGGTGAATTTTCTAAGCATATCAGATGGAAAAGTTCTGCCTTGGAAGTGATAGATTGATTGTACACAGTGGTTGAATTTCCATAGCCTCCCCTACCCCAACATCAGTGTGAGCATAGCGCCCCCTGGTGGATAGGATGACCAAGTGAAGAACGCACACATTGTTAGAATTCTAAGGTTTCAAAGAAATTCTCAGAGCTGCTATGTGAAAGGGGCAGTTTTTGCTTTGCTTCAGATTCACTTCCTCTCACTGTGTCTCCTGTACAGTAATAGACAGCCGTGTCTTCAGCTTTGAGGCTGTTCATTTGCAGATACATCTGGCTTTTGGCATCATCCCTGGAGATGGTGAAGCGGCCCTTCACTTTGTCTGAGTAGTAAATGGGAGTTGAGGCTGTACTTATATAGGCTACCCATTCCAGGCCTTTCCCTGGAGCCTGTCTCACCCAGTGCATTCCAGAGCTGCTGAAGGTGAATCCAGAGGCTTGGCAGGTGAGACGGAGGGACACCTCAGATCGGACACCTAAAATGAAAGAAATTTCAGTGAGCTCTCCTCTCTACAAGAATTTAAAAGAAAGGAATTTGAATAGTTAAGAAAGAATTACCTCTGAGCACTGCTAGAAAGGACACCAAATTTAGCCACAGGAACATTGTTGCTCCTTCTAATGAATGGAGGGTAATTGATAGGAAAGGATTGCACAAATGAAATGAAATGCACAAACTTTGTGTTGGTGGGTGTTGCCTGAAAAGGGGAACCATGAACTTTAAAGAGCAAATTGTGCCTCAATTTACATATTGTTTGGGATAAAAGAGTACCTCAGGGTACTCTCTTTTAGTTTTTTTTTTCTTTTGTACAGACTTTATATCTGTGATTTTAAAAGGGAGGGAGAGGAGAGGAGAACAGTGGAGAGAAAGGATAAATTTGTCCCTTATTTTACTTGGTTTTGTTTGTTTGTTTTGTTGTTGTTTTATGAAAAAGGAATCTGTCTCCACTCTTTAATCTGGCTTTTTCTAAATTATTCTGATGTTATATAAAATTCTCATAGGAGTCAGGGCAATAAATGAAATACAACAATTTACTGGATGTATCCCCTCCTGCAACGTAAAATTTTCATAAGATGTTTTCAGTAACTTATTACGGAAATGACATAAAAAATGGTCATGCTCCACAATGACAGAATATCTGATGACACTTGTTTTACTGTATTCCCTACTCCACACCCACAAGATGTTTCATGTGACAACATTGTTCCCCAGTGTCAAAAGTGAGGAGGGGATGCATCTTCCTGATTCTCCAAGGAGATTCTTTAGGTTGAGATGTTTCCTCAATATTTGTATGGCAGTTTGGATATTTAAAAAGATGATCATAAAGTGTCATTTCCTGCCTTCTGTCATGATACTAAAGGGCTACATTTAATTCAAGGTTCTTGTTTTTTTCCTGAACCCAGATCACTTTGTAAACAGGCAAACTGACACCGAAACAAATCCAATAAAATAATAAAGAGTTCTAATCAAGGAAGACTTATTTATTTATTTATTTATTTATTTATGAGACTTATATACCGCTTTTAGGTGCAAGCACTCTCTAAGCGGTGTACACCAGTAAGCAATGTATATATATATTTTACATTGCCCCCAGCAATCTGGGTCCTCATTTTACCTACCTCGGAAGGATGGAAGGCTGAGTCAACCTTGAGCCGGTGAGATTTGAACCGCTGACCTGCTGAACACAGTCAGCTAAAGTGGCCTGCAGTACTGCACTCTAACTGCTGCGCCACCTCGGCTCATTTTTATTTTTCTAAATGTTTTCTGAGAGCAGAACTTGTGAGCACTTTGCCATTGCTGTCTTTCAGGAGATTTTTTTTTCCTGTTCAATTATTCAGTTTATTTCCTTTACTGAGATTTATTTGGTTTCTTCCCCTCCAGTTGGAAAACAGCTTCCAAACTGCAGATATTAAGATCATCTCTTTCTTCCTCTTGGCAATCAGGCACTTCCTCAGGTTCCCCACATTGAAAAATGCAGCCTTCTGGGGCTGAATGGAGTTGCAGGATTGCTCTAATGAATGGCAGGTTTTTGCCAAGCTTCAGATTCACTTCCTCTCACTGTGTCTCTTGCACAGTAATAGACTGCTGTGTCTTCAGCTTTGAGGCTGTTCATTTGCAGATACAGCTGGCTTTTGGCATTGTCCCTGGAGATGGTGAAGCGACCCTTCACTTTGTCAGAGTAGTAAATATATGAAGAATATATATATGCCACCCATTCCAGGCCTTTCCCTGGAGCCTGTCTCACCCAGCTCATAGCATAGCTGCTGAAGGTGAATCCAGAGGCTTGGCAGGTGAGACGGAGGGACCCTCCAGGGCTTCTCACATCCCCTCCAGACTCCACGAACAGGACCTCAGATCGGACACCTAAAATGAAATGAGTTTCAGTGAGCTCTCCTGTACACAAGAACTAAAATGGGAAAAAAGCTGAATACAGAGGGCAGAAATACCTCTGAGGATTGCTATTAAGGACACCAGGTTTAGCCATAGGATCATTTTTGCTCCCTCAATTGAATGGGGTGTAATAGATAGGAAAGGATTCTGGTTGATGCACAAACTTTAGGTTGGTGGGTGTTGCCTGAAAAGGGAAACCGTGACTTTAAAGAGGAAATTGTGCCTCAATTTGCATATTGCTTGGGATAAAAGAGCTCCTCAGGGCGCTCGCTTATAGATTTCTTTGGGTAGTCTTTAGCTCTGTGATTTTCAAATGATACTAAGTTATACATTTATGTTCTGGTTTCCAGTTGTTCATCCCCTAATATAATTTGTTTTCAGAGATGGTGAAACATCCCTTCCATTTACCCATGTATTAAATAATATAGGAACCTTGATTTATGCCATTTATTGCAGCACTTTGTCAGATGCCTCTCTCAGCCATTTTATATAAAAGATGGGGAAGCTAATTGAGAGGCAACGTAGGCCTCCTCATAGGCCCTTCAGACCCCACCAAGGGCACCTCACACTAGACCCCTGGAAAGAAAGGAGCTGGAGTAAAATCTCCTGGATACAATAGCAAACGGAAGGAAATTCCATTGCTTTCTATAAAAGGGCCTCTCAGTGCATTGGTCTCATAGCTTTCATTGCATACACGTTATAAGAATGATTTTCCCCTAACTTTAATATCTTATGAAAACTGAAAAGAGCTTTTTATTTCCTTTCCTTTCCCTTTCCCTTTCCCTCTCCCCTCCTCTCCCTCCCCTTCCCTTAAAGGGCAAACTGTGCCTCAATTTGCATATCACTGGGGATAAAAAAACCTCTTCATTGTATTAAGAGCTGTGGTGGTGCAGTGGATAGAATAGAGTTTTGCAATATAATTCTGCCGACTGTCCAACATCCAATTCTAGCTTCAGTCATGAAAGAATAATTGAATAGAATAACAGAATTGGAAGGGACCATGGATGTCTTCTAGTCCAGCCCCTTACTCCGGCAGGAAACCCTACAGCATTTCAGTCAAATGGTTGTCCAATTTCTTCTTAAAAACATTCAACTGGTTCAAAGTTAATTTAGTCTTCCATCCTTCCGAGGTGGGTTAGTTATATATTTATTTCCACATAAATTTCACTGATAGTTTTATGACTTCTGAAGGCAAGCTGTTCCACTGGTTAATTGTTCTCACTGTTAAGAAATTTCTCTTTAGTTCTAGGTTTCTTCTCTCCCTGCATATTTTCCATCCGTTGTTTCTTGGCGTACCTTTAGGTGCTTTGCAAAATAGGTTGACCCCCTCTTCTTTATGGCAGCCCTTCAAATGCTGGGATACCGCTATCATGTCACCCCAGTCCACACACTTTATGTTGATGGTGTATCCTGAAAAGGACAACCAACTGCTTCCTTTAAAGTGGAAATTATGCCTTGATTTACATAAAGCTAAAAGTGCCACATCACTGCTTTTATTTATATAATTCTTTGCACATAGATTTCTCACTTGGATTTCAAATTAGGAACAGTCCGGACCGTCATGTCTTTCATTGTCAGTACACAAGGAAAAGAGATATTTACACTGTAGTAAGTCAAGCAAGAACTAACACAACTCCCTCACTTCAAGAAACAGTTCAGTGAGGAAAGAATGAAATCATGTGCTGATTTCACATATGGATTTCAAAGGAGGTTCAGTCCTAGGAACAGTCCATCATACTTTTTATTGTGTGTACATAGGAGAAAGTGCAGGTTTATACAGGTTGAAAACTGACAGCCTGATTCGAAACGAGTATCGTGCGATGGGGTGATCTCCCGTTACTTGTCCCAGCTCCTGCCAACCTAGCATCTTGCAGCAAATTCAAGTAGATAAATAGATATAATTTGGAGGGAAGGTAACAGTGTTCCATGCTCCTTGACACATAGCAGTGTTGGAATTCAGCCAGTTCGCACCAGTTCGGCAGAACCAGAAGCTAATTTTTTGTTGCCCAGACCCTGAATGGACTTCCAGAAACGGCATCCACACAGAGAACCAGTTGTTGACATATTTGAATCCCACCACTGGCACATAGTCATGCTGGCCACATTGGACAATGCTGGCTGCTTTGGTTAAAATATGGAGAGCACCACCATATGGGGCATATCTTTACCTTTAAGTAGAGCAAGATATGATAGGCTTGTCATTTCAAGAAAGGGTTCTATTGTGACAGAAAGAAATGATGCATTGAAAATTATTTAAGTAGCCATGTTGTAGACCAAGGTTCCTTCCAACTTTATTTATTGTTATTATTATTGTTATTATTAAGTTGGAAGGGACCAACTTCTAGTCCAATCTTCTATTGAAGCAAGAGACCCTTTATCATTTATATTTTTTTACATATATACATGTTGTTTGCATTTCAAAAAAAAAAAAGTATCCTCAACATTTTACAGACAAAAACATAAGTTTCGTGGTGAGAATTATTCCCTCCGGAAAGGTGAAATTTTCATGAGGTGTTTTTATCTCATGAAATGAAATGAAATAATATAGAAAAAAAAAGTCATGACTCCAGAATGAGAGAATATTGAATGACCCTTCTTTTATTCCCCACCCCACCCCCCACTGGGTGCAGAGGCTGTGGGGTTTCACGTGACTACATTGCCCCCCAGTGTCAAAAGTGAGGAGGGGAGGCATCTTCCTAATTCTCCAAGGAGATTCTTTAGGTCCAGATGTTTCCTCAATAGTTGTATGGCAGTTTGGCTATTTATAAAGATGATCATTTCATTCAAATGTTTGTTGGTTTTTTCCCGAACTCAGATCACTTTGTAAGACAGACTGAAACTGGAATATTCAAGCCATCTTTATTATATTAAATTATCTTCAAAAAAATCTCTCTAACTGGACCTAAAACAAAAGAGTCCAATAGATTTCACTAGACAGTTATGAAGCATCACGGAATAAGCGAGATATGGGCCAAAAGAATGGGGAGGGGGGAGCAGAGGGGAAGGGAAGGGAGGGAGGGGAGAAGAGAGGAGAAGAGAGGAGAGGAAGAATAAATGTGTCCCTTACTTTACTTGGTTTTGTTTGGTTGTTTATTTTGTTTTGTTTGTTTGTTTGTTTTGTTGTTCTTTTATAAAAAGGACTCTGTGTCTACTCTTTAATCCATCTTTTTTGAAATTTTCTGATGTTATATAAAATTCTCATAAGAGACAGGGCAATAAATGAAATACTGTGGGAAGTCAGCCCCCAGAGAAGGAAATATTAAAAGGGTAGAAAAATATATTCCCTCCAAGGATCTTAAAGAGGCAGGAAAGCATGCCCAGTTTTCTTAATAGCCCCAAGCAGAAACCAGCTCTACAGAAATGCAGATGTAAATCCAGCGAGCTAGGAAATTAAGACGACAAAGACCTAAAATTTTCCTACCCTATCCAAAATTTAAGAATCATCAGCCCCAGCCCCAGGGAAGCAGGATATGATCTTTGGGACATAATAGGATTAACCTATCACCATCAGAATACCAGGAAAGCACACTCAGACTCAGGTCAAAGTTCATGCCACAGGAACAGGAAGCAGCTCCAAACAAAAGGCTCCAGAGGGTATAAAAACCCAATCCCCACATGTGCTTAGCCCTTTTCTCTCCTCTTACTCTCCTCTTTCCTGCCTCTTTCCTGTCTGGCTGTTCAATAAATTGCAATCTTCTTTCTAAAGCAGTTGCTATGTTGTTTATCCGTGGCTTGGACTGAACCAGGATGAAGACTTTTCTTCCAACAATTCAACAATATATTGGATGTGTAATGCAGGGTAGACATGTTTTCTTATCCATTGTTTCTTCAAGGAAGTAGAATTGATTATATAACAACATGATGCTAGGTGAAGAAACAATTTTCCACCTATAATTTCTGAGTGAAGGAAACTATGTTACCCTTATCTTATCTTTCTGTGTAGCTGAAAAAGGTGAAGGAATCCTATTGTATCTTCAAGTCAATTCACTTAGCATGAAGTAGGAAAGACTGGTGTGAACTGTGTGGTGTTTTGTAAAGGGAGCTGTAATTTCACTTCCTTTTCAATTGACAACAATGGAAACCATCAGTCTCAGAACGGTCATCCCATCTGAAAACACTTTCTACTGGATCCCTATTCAGTGGGATTATGCAGACCACCAGTGGTCCCTAATGTAAGACCAATGAAGGTGAGGTAGAGGACTTCATTCTCCCAGGAGATATAGATGCTCTTAAAGGGGAAGGAAAAGGTTACTGAACTCCAGAAAACTGAAATAGTTCATGTGAGAAAGGCGGAGATGGCCCCAATGCTGCTCTTGAGATAGTTTGGAAGAATTAAAGCTATTTGGGTCATTCTTTTGGGGGTGGAGAATATGACTTTCTTCAGGATTGACCTGAGAAGTCCAACCTACATTCCTTTATTTTTACACCAATTACAAAATAACCTCTTTTATGCTGCCATTTGCCTCAAGATTTTAAGCCTTGCTTTTTGACTTTGGCTTTCTTCCTTGAAGTTATACCACAACAAAAGAATGTGCTTCTTATATTATTACATGCCTATATATCTTCCGCTAGAGGATGAATACGATATTCAACATACTTAATATTTCAGGTGTGTGTGTGTGTGTGTAGGGAAGGAAGGAGGGAGATAGGGAGGGAGGGAAAGTGAGAGAGAGAGAGAGAGAGAGAGAGTATATAGACACAGACAATGAGATACATGAACACAAAGACGGAAGGAGGAAGATCTGAATGTCAAGAAAGAACAAAAATAAGGATTGAAGTACAAATCCAATAAAAGAATAAAGAGCTCTAATTAAGGAAGACAATTTTGTATTTCTAAAGATTTTTTGGAGAGCAAAACTTGTGAGCACTTTTTCGTTGCTGTCTTTCAGGAGGCTTTTTTCCCCCTGTTTAATTACTCAGTTGATTTTCTTTGATGAGGTTTCCTGTTTTTTCCCCTTTCAATAGGAAAATCGCTCCCACATTGCAGATACCAAGATCAGCTCTATCTTCTTCCTGACAATTAGGCAGCTTCCGCAGCCTCCCCTCATTGAAAAAGGCAGCCTTCTGGGGCTGAATGAACTGGCAGGGCTGCTCTGATGAAT